CAATCAAAAGAGAATTTAAAAATAACTAAATCCTATATATTCCCCTCAGTAACTAGGCTGTAAAAAGCATCAGACAATAGTTTAAAAGCCTAAATTGAAAACTAATCACTCCATTGAATCCCTCCTTTCATTTCGTTAATAGGCATACACAAAACTAGCGGTGATTCTACCACTGCCGTGCTTGGAACATCAACAGAGAAAATGCAAGTTATTTCTTTTAATCACAGTTCCACAGTGATGTGTGGCGATTTTTAAAAAAACAATTCAGCACTTCCACAATAACATCTGCTTTTGGGATCTCGCAGAGAAGCTGACCTGACATAAAGAGCAACTCAAAAAATTCAAGATAAACCAATACATATTGAAGGGGCCAAGGAGGAGGAGGAAATCAGGACCACATATGAGACAGCGTTAAGACTTGTCATTAAGTGCAGCTAGTTGGTAGCAATTGGGTTCCTAGTGCCAAAATCACTCACACAAACCACACCAACGCTGCACTGGAGGAGCACAGCAGCGATACAGTGCTGGAGGATGTTCGGATGGAGGGGATTGCCGAGGGTACTGTACAACAACAGGGAACACTCCAAGTATCCAAGCCCTGCCCAGAGCCATATCCACCTATGCTCCTAAACCCTATCTGAAATGGCTTTTCTCTGCTAATGGAGAAATATTTATTTCCTCATCTTTGTTCTAGCTTTAGCCCTTTACTGCATCTACTACATATGGAAAAAACCTGACACAAGCTAACTTTCTGGATGTTTCAAAGAAGAAATGCTTAGCATATGCATTCCTATCACATAAAAGTTGCACAGCTTTCCACACTTCAGAAACACTCTTCATATACCAAGCACCTGTACGCCTGTGGACATACACAAACCAACTAGGAGAACAAAATGGGACATCTGAGGGAATAAAGAATAAAAACTGAGTAAGCAGCCAACACTGTTCTGGGGAAAAGATCATTCAGACACAGGAATCACTCTTCAGAAATGCACAGAAACAGGATTCACTGGGCAAAAAGAAACATAGGAATAGTCAGACCAGAGCAAAGGAATACTGTGGCAGCTATACACAAGTTTAAACACCATTTTCTCTAAAAGTAAAAAACTGAGGCAATCACAGAAGATAGCTCATAGCCCACTGAAAGAAAAGGAAGCCAAATTGCTGGTGAGAAAACAGTCTTTGCCAGCACTATTAAAAACATGTAATGCACAAGGGCAGCCTTGTCAATACCAATCAATTGGTATCACTGGGGAAGGAGGGAGGACGAGCCATGCTGCAGCACCATTTCACCTGCAAGGTATTTAAATGAAATTCATTAGTAAGTAACCCAATTCACATAAACTGTGAGTTAAGAGATCCTAGAAAATAAAGTTAAATCTAGTCTAGACTGGGAAATAGTATAAATAGCCATTACTTGAAGCGCTGAGTGTTACCTAAACGGACAGCCTCTAGAGCTGTCACAAAATCCCACCTTCACCGACTGCTGCATCAAGCATGGGAACCCACCTACATAAATTCAAGGTAGTTTCTAATTTGTGTTGCTTTTGTGTTTGTTTTCTGAAGATAGTGCACTTGGTAACCAGTGTCATATTGAGAATAATAGTAGCATATGGATAAGGAATCTTTGTGGTTTTATTCTCAAACGGAGTTTTAAATTTAAATTCATCACTGCAAGATTAATCAGAGAAAAGACTGGGAATAACAGCCTGTCAAACTGGGTGCTCTTAGCAGACTCACCTCAAATTGGAAAGAAAGAAAGAAAAAAAATCCTAAAAAATATATAACTA